AGTAGTTCTGGATTTATAACAGCATCTATATATGTGTCTGTTGGCACAGTCGATCAGTAGTTAACAGCCGCAGGGCTCCATCTAAGCCAAGGAACAGGACAACATCAATTTCTGAGATGTAAAATCTGAATGAAAGTCAAGAAGGGCAGAAAACTCCTCCAGTCAAATGTCTCTTTGGGCAAGGACTCTTCATTTCACAATGTAGAATGTAACTTCAAGAGAATTTTCCAATAAACAACTTCCCCTAATATTCTGGAAGGCGCAGATCAGTTCAGTTCCCTACAAAATTCACAACTGTACAACCTTACGTGAAAAATAGAAGCAAAACATTCTTAAGCACCCACATACCTGAAAAGCTTATGTCTCATGTTCAGAAGTGTCTTAGGTTTCACTGACTTTGAATTTAATTTAAGATTTTAAAGAATATTTTGACTGCCTCTTTGTCTCTAGTATCTGGGAACAAGCACAAGTGTTACGTGACCAGCCAGTTCTTCACGGATTACAAGCGAGTGCTCTGGTAAGTTAAAAACATTGGTATAGGAAAAAAATAAAAATCAGGTTTAGCAGCTATGTCTAATGGGAACTTTACAATAAATAAATCCAAATAGAATCACTGGATTTATTCAACTATATACTATTAGTTACTCCCTGTCACCGGTGTTACTGAACCACCATCCTGCTTTAAATGCAGTTATCAGCCCAGAAATATTTTCATCCAAGGGTTCAAACTGCAACAACTGTGAGGACACGTGGAAGATTCTTCCGTCATTATCTAACCATTCAGTTCTAATGTGAGTGCTCGACTGGGAAAGTCTGTGACTAGCGGAGATGGATAAACAGTTGGATGGGAGGTATTTGAATGTTTAATATATGTGCCAAACTGTCTTTCTAGGGTCATGGAGACTCGGCAGTTCCTGGGGGCTGTCAAACTGATTACACGCAGCAAACCAGGCGTTGTGTCTCTGCGTGCTGCTTAGAGTAAGCACTGATATGCCAGTCAGACTTTACTATCAAGTACAAGCTTATGTGTGCTGGAGATGTTGTGCAGACTTCAAGTCATTGGTGTACTCAGTAATTTAAAAGCTTTCATGTACTCTAAAAAATTTTGTCTTGCACTCGAAGGGGCAATCTTTGTTCCTAACACAGAGCCCAAGTCTGCAAGTTCTTTGTAGAAGACGAGGCTCCCATCATAGATGTACAATTTTAAGCAGTTGGTTGCATTTTAGCAGTGGTAAAATGATCCTTGTTTTATATTTCCCTACAATAATTTCTGTAAAGGCTGTGAGATTCTTTGGGATGGAAGGCTATAAAAATGTAAGTTGCTATTAATTATATTGATTTGCATGATTTTATGTATGTCCATTTAGCATTGCAGAAATACTTAGAAAGAAATGTACTCTTCTTTCTTTTTCACACATCATTGCATTGTATTTGAGAGGATTTAGCACATTTTCTGATTTCACTTGCCAAATCGGGGGTTTGTGTTTAAAATTTACAGCTGACTTGACATTCCAGAAAATAAGCATGATTACCAATTATGTCTCTGTCTTGTAGTAACATACCTAACTAAGGAAAGAAATATTGGGAGATCTGAACTTTTACATCAAGGAGCAAATATGAGATTATCTTTACAAAGAAGCTCTGTTTATTCAATTCTTGAGAAAAAAGTGCAGTTACTGCTACACTCTATGTAAATTGTAAGGCCATTAATCATTATCAGCTGCTGCCAAATCCCCCATATATCCCAAATATACATAAAGGTAAACACAAATTCTCTTCATTCATCTGACAAAGTCATTGCCATCCAGCAGGCTGCAAAGATCTAACTCTCTTATTTGTCAACACCAGAGTACTCACACACTGAGTTTGAAAGATGCTACATACAGTATAGTTCTGCAACTTGAACCGTGCAACCTGAAGTTCAAACACAAGTCGGAATACTAACTCTCTAATATGGAGGGAAAAGAGCTATTTGTGATATAGGCAGCATAGCTACTTGGACGGTATAGTTCAGGAAAAAATGTTACTGTTCTATTTTACTTGATGTAATCAGAGCTGAGAAAGGCCTTACAAGAAGATGAGAGAAGGAAGACATCATCAACTCTAAATATCTTCACACACTATATCACTGGATTATAACTGTACATTTTAACCCCTCAACAGTTATTCAAGGACTAAAACTGCTTTAGAGATTAGTTACAGATAATGAAAAACATTAGAAAGAAGTGAAGTAACTGAATATTTATCAGTTAAACCCTTAAGTTTTGGGGGGTTTTTTGGTTATAGTATCAGGGATATTAAACACAGTTACATATTAGGTCAAAGCATCACATCTCATTTCTGAAAATCTTGTGTAACAGCAGGTAACTCGTGTAACAAGGCTTTATACCACCTAGATACCATTTTCCTTCCTTTGTAATAAAACTATATGGGGGTTGGGGTAGCTACACAGAGGAACAGTTTCAGACTGAGTTGAAAGTTGTGCTGCTGCTTGCATCTTCACAAATATTTGAGTCATGTTCCTCCTGAGCGCACATGTTAACAATGCAGCAAGAACAAACAGTAAATCAATTCAGCTGCAAAAGCTGCTGAGTGCTCTCCTCTCATCCTTCTTAGGGCTCAACAACTACTTTAACTCAGTGGCTTAGTTTTACTTCTTCATTTTTCTACAATGCAAGGAAGAGAGTGCCGAGAGGGCATCATTCTGTGAACTGTTGTCAAATTCTTTGAGCCAAGCCCCAGAAGCATGTAAGCACCTGTTGTTTTAAGACCTTTTATGCAACATACCCAGAAGTCAGACCACAGTTAAGTGTATAAGCAAGGCTCTCTTTTGAAAAAACGCAGGCTGTTAAAGCAATAATACCTGGTCAGTTGGGAGTGAAAGGATGTATAATTGGAGAAGTAGTATTGATGTTAACATAACTTTTCTAACAGGAAGAGAATTGAGGAAGAGTTGGGACAAAAGGTTTATTAGGAAGCTGGGAACAGCACACCACCAGCAGCAAATTGAAGCAAGCAAGCAAAAAAAGGAAAGTAACTATGTGAAAGAACACTTCCTCCCCCCAAAACTGAAGTCTTTGCTTTCTCTTTTCTCATGAAAGCATAGGTTTGTATTTTGTGTGTCAAAATTAAATCTATTTTAAATGTGTTTCTTTTAATATTAATATATCTAATTAATATATACTTTTATTGACTATAGCTAGTTTGAGGGTAGGATAAACAGATCATGGAAATGTATTGTAACAGTACAGCAGTTAAAATTAATGATTACTTGACTTTAGATATATCAGTGGATCACCTTAATCATGTACTTCAGGAACACCTAGTAATTCATAGACTAAACAAGGGATTCTAGTAGGGAGCAGGCAGATGCTGCTTGCATCATCATGCTCCTGCTTGGAACTAGCTTTCAAACATACGGACTGTATTTTCAAATTATAGACCTTCAAAGGCTAATCTAGAGAAAGACAATAGAATAGTAAATCACAAGTGAGAAAAGAGGAAAAAAAATCAAGCAGATACAACTGCATAGTAGACTCAAAGGAAACAGAAGGAAGAAAATCAAGCCACACGCATGAGCTTGCTTACCTTGTCCGTCTGTGAAGATATTCGTATTAACTGCTCTTGGGAGATGCAGAGTATGAGAAGTTATCTCACTGTGATGGGCTTCAGGAAGGCCTTGAGACATCCCTCTTGGGAAGGATTTGATAATCTTGCATTTTTAAAGTTGTGATGCTTTGCTTACGTTTTGTGCCCAGCAGTTAAGAGAGCTCACTGCTGTACATGAAAGCAGAGGACTAATGGATGGCAACTCCTCTCTCCTGCTGTTTGCACGGGGAAGCACAATACAAATCGTGGACATGCGGCAGCAGTTGTGGGTGGCAATGGAAGCAAGGACATAGCTGGTGGGAAGCGACAGCTGGGAATACAAAAGAAAAAGCAATTAGGATTTGGAAGCAACAGGTGGGAGCAGGAATCAGAAAACTACAGTTAAGACCTCTGAGGAGGCAGGAACTAATCCAGGCCTTGTCAAGTAAGTCCATTGGAAGGCCAACTTGAAGAGACAAAAAAGGAAACCAACAGGGAGAATATGGTAATACTGTGTGATGGGAAAGCAAACACTAAAGGCAAGTTCTTACTGCATCAAAGCTGTACTTGTTCCTTAGCCTGCTCTGTCGTAATACTCATCTGTGAATGATACGCTGTGTACGTTCATAGAAAAGAGTGGCTTGGCTGTTACTTTAAGAGCAAAACAGAGCTAGCTGTAGCTGTGAAGCTGCAATGAGCTCTTCCATGACAGGTGGATAGGAAAGGGACAAAAAGAGTTATTTAAAGTCTGCTTGCTCTTGGTGCCGTGGCAGGTGTGCTGGCAGACAGCTGGGCTCAATGACCTTCTAGAGTTGAGCTCCCACATTAACTGGCTGCACTGGATGTGACTGACAGGGCCTCTGTGCCCTTAAAACGTACTGTCTGAAGTTATCGCTTTGGGTCATGTTCCAGCTACGGGAGGCAGTGCAGCGAGATGGGGGTCGCCGTGCTCCCAGGGCCAGGCAGGGTGGAAACGCGACCTCCCCTCACGCAGCCTCTCCAGGCACAGCAGGTGCTGGGGCTGGTCCGGAGGGGCCACCTCAGGCAGTGGGGACTGCTTGGGACGGCAAGCATTTTGGGATCATTTGGGTATTGGTGGTCCCAAAAGCCAGCCTCCCTGCCATTTCCCCTGGGGGGCCCTGGCCACCCCCAGGCGAGGAGCGGGATCGGCCCTGTCACCCACCGGGTCTCCACGCAGGGGCGGGGGCGACCGTGAGGGGACGCGCGAGCCTCGAGCGCGGCGCCCACGGGGAGGGCGCGCGGCCACGTGCGCCAGGCAA